AGTTAAACTTGGGTGGGGTTTCCAAAGTGACCAGTAATATCTAATAAGCATAATGAAAATACATAAAGAGTCTCCAGAGGAAACTAGTGGCTATTAAGCATATTTAAATGTCTTTCAATCATATCACTACATTTTAATGGCATTTATATTTAGTTTCATTAGGATTAAGCTCTTATTTAATTTCTAACTAAATGTCAAAATAACGTTCTATTAAGAAGTAAAAATTCAATGTCATGTTAATAGTTTAATTTGCAGTAGCAATACTGACTTTAAATTTCTTAGATATTAAGCATCTTATTCCAAAATTTGTGTTTTGCTTATATATATTTTTGTTGCAAGGGAAAATACAAAAGATGCGACCATTGTAAACATTTATTTCAACATAGAATCATTTCACTTTCCACATGCAGAACACAATCCAAGAGTCAAGCCATCTAATATTCCATGGGATCCCTGTTCTAGGAAAATATTTCAGAAGTTTATATCTCATTTTAAAACAAGTTTGCACTTAAGAATACAGTAATATTATAAAATGATCTAAGAAAAATGCTGAGGGAGAAGTTGATGAAATGGAAATACTACATTTTTTAGTAAGGTAGTCCTCATTTTAAGAACGAGTTCTGTTCCTAAGGTCTGTCTTTAAGTTGAATTTGTATGTAAGCTGGAACAGTATCATTATATAATACTGTATAAGTACTATTGTGTAATGAACTCGAACCATTATGTATTTAACTCAAATTTTGCTACAATGGGCTCCATTTTTAACTATGGGTCATCTGTAAACCGGGTGTTCTTAACCCGGGGACTACCATATTTGAGCATTTAAACTATATTGCAATAATAAAATCTGGTTTTATTTGGGAGAGGGGATCAGGAACATGAACATTTAAAAAATATGAGGCAGCTTTAACACCCACATGACTATGATATTTTTCTCTCTCTGTTTGTATCCATTGTGTAAAAGCCTCAACCTTTTAGAAATTCAGAGCAGATAAGTTACAAATCCCATAGACATAAACAGAGCTGCATGAAATGTACACTGATGTATTCAAATCTTGAAATTAAAAAAAAAAAGTTAAAAATCCTGAGATGGGTACAATAGCAGACAAGTGATACGCAGAGAACCTGTTGTAATGAACTTGTTTTTGTAGACATGTGGCTAAACATAGCTATCTTCAAAAGCAAATGGAATGCTCTGACATGTTCGTAACCCTAATTTTTAAAAGCGCTTCTAATTAGGAAAATAGCTAGACTTTTAAAAAAATATATTTTATATCGGGGATTTCAGAGAGCAAAGGAAGTATTTTAATTATTCCCTTTTGTATTCTTTCAAAGCCAAATAGAAATTCCACATTTCCCCTGCAATACTTAATTTGGGTGTGGATGACCAACGTTCTTGCTCTCCTAAACTCCCCACTGCCATTCACTGCAACCTTATTCAAAACCTGAGACCATTTTGCTCTGACATTCTTCCTTGTGCGGAGAGCCCCCGTTGATTTTCTTTTTTGATTGTCCAGCAAGGTAAATTGGGATGAGACGGGCCCGGCGCTGCTGCCCTGCTCCTTCCTTGCCTCCTCTCATCCATTCTCACGTTCCAGGTATCATACGAAAAGTCAGAAACATTTCAGGAGAGCCCCCCGTAAACTCGCGTGTAGCGTGGAGAAAGGGAAGAAATGAGAGAGGGAACGAGAGAGACACAACCTTGGGAGCAGGTTGAGGGTGCCGGCGGACCATTGGGAGGACTCCGGGTGTTCCTTCGCTACCTAGGGGAGAAAACAGAGAGGTCTGCGGAATGGCACTTCTCGCCCTTTCAATTAAAGTCTCGCATGATACCGCCGATATGGGAGCTCGGCAGGAGGCCCTTAAATGCCTTGCATTGAGATACACTTTGCCCAAATCTCCAAGCGCCCTGTTAGTTGCGTAAGCCCAGAAGGAACAAGCCGAGCCAGAGGGTGGGGCTGCAGGTCACCGCACCCACTTTCTCCATTCCATCTCTCCCCCCCCCCCCCCCCTTTGAAAACAAAGGCGCCCCCGTTGCTCAGCCCCGCCCCGCCTCTGTTGCTCTACAGCAAACCGCTTCCTTGCCCTTGCAGGAGACGAGCTTTTCAGGCGCTCATTGAACTCGGCGCGCCTAGGAAGGGGCGGCAAACAGCTCTCCACTGACCTGGGCTTTTA